TTTAGTGAGTAAACGAATAGTTTGTCAAGTAAAAGAAGAAACCATTGGTCATTTAATATCCGTTAGTAATATGCTTGTACTTAAAAGCTCAGTACAATTGTTTATGGGTCAATACTTTGTATAGGTTATAAATAGTTGTATGCAAAATTTTTTTCAAGGATCATTTTAATTGATAAATTTGCATTACAATTAGCCTGAATTAGCATGTTTAGCGTTGACATGTCAATATTTTTCTAAATTTTAATTTTTTAGTTGAGACTCTCTTTTTTTGTTTTGTTTTGCTTTGTTTTGCAAGAAGAACTGAGCAAGGATATTATCTTGAAATGTGAAAGATTATTAATTTTTCTTTCTAATAGACTAAATTGTACTTTTTGAATTCATTATTATTTCACAACATTATCTGATCATTTAAACAAATGTGAATTTATCATTTTTAATTTTATCATTTATAAATGATCATGATGACCTTTTGAGTCCATTTATATTGAATAAGGTCAAAATAGCTTAATAATTCTTGATGTTATTCATACCTAACTTGTTTCTTCTTACGAAAAAATTTGTTTCATCAAAAAAAAAATAATATTTTTTTCTCTTTGAATAAAAAATTTTAAATGAAAAAACAAATCTACCATCTTATCTTTATTTTTATTACTTCATCGTTTGCATCTCCCAATCTTATCTAATCCTTTTAACAATATTGCAAAAATCGATATGTGATAAAATGTAAGAAAAAGAAAAAATTTTCAAAATAAATATGAAAAAAATTTTGTAAGCAGAAATGAAAATTTGTAATGATTCCTCTCACCAATGCTTCTCAATTCCGTTCTTCACTGTAAATGAATTTTAATGAATCTAATGTTTCATAATTCTTGATTCTTGACTGTACTGCTGTGGCGCTTCTCTATCTAAAAATTTTTCATATCTTTGATTTTTCCCTTTTTCTTTTTCACTTAGCTTCCTCTCATCCCCCGCTTTCTTCCAAAAAAAAGAGGATATATGAAATTAAAGTTGAAAATTATGAAGAGGATGAGAATTGAAATGAAAAAATGGAATCATATTTCTAGAAGACTACGCATTATTTTCCCTAATTCGTTTTCCTGTTTTTTTTTTTCTTTCCTTTCTTGAATGCATCAGTTATATTCGAATGAAAAATTATTGTGAAAGAATAGAAAAAAAATCAATAAATCATATTTTAGCATATAATATAATATATATGTAAGCTTCTATTTAATATTTTTATGCTTCACTCAATACTATTTCATTATTATTTTCATAATTTTACAAATGATTTTTTGGATGAATATTATTAGCTAGAATATTTTTTTGTTAGCTAAAAAGTCAAAGTCGTTTTGGTACATTTTGATAATTTATGCAATTAAAAGTTAACAAACAATTATTAATTGATTATTTAACAACTATTTCTGATTAATTAGACAATTGTAAATTCATTTAATTAGTTAAATAATTAAACAAAAAAGAAAAGATGAATGGTTGTAATTTATTTCCGAATGTAATATGAAAGAGAGCAAAAATACAATTTTCTTAAAAAAAAAAGAGCATACTATTTTTCTTTACAAAAGAAAGAAAATTACAAATTTTTAGACCATTGATGATATTTTTAAGTTTTTTAAAAATTTAATCTTTAAGAAAATATTTTGCTACAAGCAGATATAGTTATATATTAATGATATGAGAATAAGTTGGAAAAAAAAAGTCTCAAATTTTAAAAATTTGTTATTTTCTTCTCATAAATATTTCCAAAGTTCTAAAATTGTATAGGGAAAAAAAAATCAAATAGTTATAAGATATTTAATTTATGATAATTTATGATACTTTATTCTATAATTGTTATTAAACCATTTGCGCCATGCTTTTGATCATTTTTTAAAGTGTTTGCTACTGCTTCCATTTTCTTAATGCCATTGTTCCTCAATTAGAGTAGATTTACATTTTACTTCATATTTTAAAATTATTTTACATCAATTAGAATAGAGCTTTTATAACATTTGATGGATTATTTCAAATTAAATTTGTAAATAAATTATGAGAAAAAAAACTTTTCAGATACACTAAGAGAATACCAACGAAAACTTTCCCTCTAATTAATAGTTTTTCACTCAAAAACTTTAAGCTATTTAAGGAAAGAAAAATGGAAGAATATTGATTCTTTTATCAGGCACAAGTAAGCGCAAAAAACAGAATAATATTATTTGATAAGTTAAAAATAAGGATAAAAATAAAAATTGGACAAAAATAAATGAAAAGCAGAAAATAAAGAGTTTATAATTAGTAATATGCATTTTTCAAAGATTTCACAAAATTTTGTCCAAAAATGATTATATTTTCTGCTATCAATTAATTATTCAGTTCAAATCATAAATATTTTAGTTAAAAACAGTGTTAATATGTCACAATTCATGAGATGAGCATATTATGCAATTTTTCGTTCAAAACATTTCAATATATAAAATTTTTCTGTATTTTAATTTTTTTTAACTGCATATTTTAATTTCCATATGAGTGAATCATTTCAAATGATCAAATCATTCAAAACAATATCATTAATAAATACAACAACTTCTAAATACAAATTAAAAATTAAAAAGTAGTGAGTGAATGCTTTAAATTCCACATTGAGATCAAATTTGTCCCTAAACTTTGAAATTAGGTCTTGAAATTTTTTTAATTTCAATTCAAAAATTTGACTAATTATAACAAAATGCAAGGATTTTTTTGTAAGCTGAATGTGCATGTAAGCTTACCATGCCGAATTTACAAAAAGTTATATATTTTCTTTTCCGAATTACGATTATTTACAATTATTATTTATTCAATCGACGTAACGCACATTACGTGAAACTGAAAAAAATTATTATCAATAAAGTAAATACGTGGGAAATGTCTACAAAAAGAATAAAATTCATATTAAATTTCATCTATTTAACTAAAACAATATTTTTTATCATAACAAATAATTTTTCACAAATATCGCATCAGCTATTTGATATTTTTTATCCTAATTATATTTGTTTAATTAGATTAATAAATAACACGTCTAAAGTATTTATAATAGCTTAAAAATTGGTCAAATTTAAAACATATTCTATCCGAATGGTTTATTCATTTTAAAACAATGATAATTTTAAAGTAAACAAAAATTTTTCAGCTAAGCTAAATAGAAAATTACGGAAATGAACGATTAAGTTAATTGGTTTGTTTGTTTTTTATTTTCTTTTTTTGCTGTTATACTCAATGATTCACAGTTTTGCTCTCCTAAAAAAAGCCTAAAGTAATTTTTATCCCAATTCCTTTTTCCTTTTTTTTTTTTTTTTTTGTTCAATCACATCGCTCTTTTTTTTTGTATTTATAATATTATTTCAATTTTTTGATTTGTTATTTCATTTCCTATTTGTTTACACATTTATTTCATTTCTTATTTATTCATATATTTTTGCTTCCTAACATAGTATCCTTCTTATGGGATCATTTAAAACTTTATTTTTGCCAACAATATTTTCATCTGCTTTTTAAGAACACTTTTGCTATATTTAAACAATCTTTTTACTCGATTTACCTTTTCCTATTCAATTTCTAGCTCTATTTAGTAAGAAATAGACTAAAATGCAATTTTAATTTGATATTATCGACATTAACATCGTGTCTATTTGGGTATTAATTCAATCAACTAAAATTTTTTCAACTATTTAGATTTTTGAAAATAGCTTAATAAACATAAAGATTATTACAAGGTTCTTTAAGACAAAATAGATTGATGTATGAATAAAAGAAATTAATCAAATTTCGATAAAAGTGGAAGATTTCCCACCTTACCTCACAGCAAATAAACTTACCATTTAATATGTACTTTGAACAGATCTGACTATATTTTTGCACATTAATCACTATCTTTTTTTAGGAAAATTTTGAAACCAATTTGACGAAATGTGTGCTTCAAAGGAAACACATTTTTTTTGTTGAATATCTGTTATATATGAGATGAAAAATTAAATTATCTATTTGCACTTTTTAATTCATTATTTTATGCATTGTTGTTAATATATATATATATCAAGAAAAAATAGTAATATAAGGTTAATACCATTCAATTACTGTAGCGATGTTATAATACTAATAAAAGTTTTTATTTTAGTTTAATTATAGTAAGATGATCTTGAGAATTTATTACAAAAATAAGATACAATTTTGACAAGAATGATACGAGTCACATATAATTACTGTAGCAATATTGTAGTGTTAATAAAAATCTCAAACAATGCGGAAGATAAAAAATGAAAATTCTAAAGGATAGCAGTAATAGTTGGCTACTTATTAGAACAAAAAACTAAAAATAAATAAACGAAATAAATAGATATGGTAAAACAAGAAAATTACTTATGCGCCAATTCTAATCTTCTGTTCCGCCCGCCCATCTTCATTCTCTGTATTGTAATGTTGGAAGTGTTAAATCCCACGGGAAGTCCTTTAGAATATTTAATAAGAAAAAGAAAAAATTGAAAATATTCTTAATATTCTACTTCAATCATTCATTTCCATTACTAACCTTTTTCATCATTATCATTAGTTTGCTACAAGCTAAGCTTATTACGTTCATAATTACTGATAAAATTTTTTTTTTTAATTTTCGTTCTTTCTTTCTCTTTCTTTCTGTCCTTCTTTCTTTTTTTTCTCTCCCTCTCTCCTTTTTCGTCATCTCATTTCAATAGATATGCTTCATTTTAATGGTAATATCTAAAAAATCACATATATTTTTTTTAGAATAAGTTAAATATAAAAAAAAAGAAAAAAAAAACAACAAAAGAATAATTTCTTATTTAACATATTGATTGATGTAATTCCTTTTTTCTTCTAATTCCTCACCCTTTCTCGCTCTCTCCTTCTCTTCATCTTTCTTTCACCAAATATTTGAGGATATTACTTTATCTAACGTTATTACTTCAATTTTTTTCTCTTTCCTTTTTTCTTTTCCTCCAACATTTTAATTAATTCAATGTATTGGAAATGAAGATTGTAATTATCAGTGGGAATGACATGACAACAGCAACATTATCTCTGAAATGTCAATTCTTTTAAATAATCGAATGACAAGTAATCCAAATAGAATTAAAAAATAAAAAATAATTTCCTATTTTAATATATCATAAAACGGACAATTCACTGCATAGATTAAAATCAATTTTTCCATTTTTTTTTTTTCCCAACATTATTATGAATCGAAATTTGTAATAAGCTTTCAGTATTTTAAAATTTTAATTTTAGTAATACATTCCAGAAATGTTAACTGCTTGTGAATAAAAAGGGCTAAATTGATAATCGCTTATTCATTAAAAATATATGCATATAAATGTTACACTTAATTATATATATATATAAAAAAAAAAAAAATGAGACGTTAAAAAGAAATAGGAAACTGAAAAAACCGAGTTCAGATTGGTGGTAGTATTATTTACTACCATAATTTATATGCTATCAAATAATTTACAGGTCGAAATCTAATCTATAATTTAAGAAATATGTGAAAATGCTTCTGTACTTCTGCTTTTTTTTTTCAGATAACAAGAGGATTGTTGGCCCAATGTTTTTGCATATTATATTAGCAATCCACTTTTTTTTTCTTTTTTTTGGAAATATAAAATGATTGTTTGCCGAAAATCATAGATATTAAATAAGCAATCTAATGATACATTTTATAATGGATTCATTAAAAAAAAAATTAAACAGTTATGAAAGAGTGAGATGAAATTAAACAAACAATTTGATAAGAGAAAAGCTAAATGCATTTGGCAAGCAAAACATATTTGAAATTTCTTTTATTTTTTTTCTTCAGCAAAAAATTAATTAAATAACGTTTTGAAGTCATCAAATATGAATTTCAATAAATGAATAAAAGAGGAAAAGGAAAGAAAAATGAGCCAAAAGATTGCTTACTTGTTGCTATGTATATCATATCTTTGCAACATTTTCAACTTATTTTTCCTTTTTCCACATCCATTCAACATATGTATTTATATATATATATATTTTTTTTTAGTTATAAATATTCGAATTATTATCAAATACTTGAATGATTACAAGCATGCATATATATGAGGGAAAATTGATAACTAATTAATGATTATATTTTTAATTAAATTAATCTTTTGTACAGCACTTTCGTTCTAAATTTTATTAGAAATGCCAAATAATTTTTTCTTAAGAAAAAAACGTAAAAATTAAACTAATACTTTCTTAGCGCAATTTTGTTTTACCATTATAGATTTTCAAGTACTTATGCTAATTAGCTAACACGATATTAATCAAAAATTAAATAAATAAATAAGTAAATAAATGTTGACAAAAATAAATCATCAAAGGCATGCATATGTGCAAACAAAAGACATTAACAATTAATTAATGATATTTAATTATGTTGAGATATCATCTAAAAAAATTTTTTTTGAATTGTAATCACTAAAATTAGAAAAAAATTTCCATAATATTTTATAGAAAGTGAGAATTCAGCAACTGCTGTTTTTATGAATGACTTCATGGTATTCTGATGAAGTGAGATCAGATTTCGGACTTCCTCACTGACTTTAATAATATAAATAGATCAGTTGTCACGTAGTACCAGAAATAATAATAGTACGAGAGACTAAAATTGCCTAGTATTTTTTTTGCAAGTATAATACTTTTAATATCCGATATTTCTATATAAGTAATGTAATTTCGCCTATTTCCATCTTATAGGAAGAAAAATTACTTCATTAATTTTAAATGACTGCAATTTTTAATCAGTTCGAAAGTTTGCACAAAAATTTCAGCCAGAAATATATTAAAAAAAAAAGAACAATTAAAGAAAATATTCAACTTAGAAAAATATTACAACAAAATTTTAAAGCAAATTTTAAAAATAAAACTTCAGTAGCTTTAATAGTTGCAAATTTAAAAAAAAAATATTATATCACTCATTATAAAATCATACCTTAATATATAATAGTATGTAATGTAAATTTTTTGTTAAAATTAAAATTTTCTGATTTATGAAAAAATTAAAAAAGAAAGCAAAATTTCACTTTCTTATAATTGACTTACTGCGATGACTGCGTAGCTTCCTTGATTTTCGCCATTAATAAGGCGCATGTTTTGGCATCGCTCACATCCACAACTCTGAAAATTTGATGATAAATTCAATTTACAGTTTTCTTTCTTTTTATTTTTTTATCAATTAAATTTAAAATTTAACACACTACAACATTTTATTTTTGACAAAATTAATTTAATTATTTAACTTCAAATTAAAGGAATACTTCATGCGGAGAACAAAAATGAAAAAATAAAATGAACAGAAGAAATGGTTTAAGAGTTTTCTATTTTTGACATTATAAAATCCTTAGAAAAAAATTTTTCGCCAACTAAAAATTGATGGAAAAGAAGGAGAAAATGGCAAATTTTCCCAAGCATTTCTTAATGTTTCCGAAATTTGCTCTACTTAAGCAATAATATTTCATTTAGATGCCATAAAAGCTACTTATTTATTTGCTTATTGATTAAAACCGATGTATGAAAATTAAAATTAAAGTTAAAAAGATTTCAAGATATTTGTTTGGAAACATAGATAAGAAAAAAGAATTTAGTGCTGGAATGAAAAAAAAAAAATCATAAATACATGAAATTGAATAACTTTGTTCTGATTAATTTTCGAAGAGAGAAAATAAAAACAAAATGGAAGGAAATTTGCTAAGTTAAAAATGAAACAATAACAAAAAAAAAGTGATTTCAATCATTTTCAAACATTCGATCCATTTTTCTTTTCTTTTTTGCTTGCCTGGCTAAAAACTAGACCAAAACCAAGTGAAAAAGAAATGTCTTTTCAAATATTACCATTCGACAAATAAATGCATTGCTCAAATTACTTTTTTTTGCTCTTAATTACTTCAAAATCCTTAGTTTAGCTTCAATAATTATCGATTCTAAATTATCGATTGAAGAAGAAAAGGAAGGAAAAGTTGTTAAAATTACACTTTCAATGAGAAATATTATTTCACAAATTTTTTTAATATCATGCGGAATTTAAGAGTGAGATTACTTTCAAAAATGTGAAAGTTGAAGAAAATGAAGAGAAAGAAGGCAACAAACAGATTTAAATCATATTGGAAAATTCAAAAATCAAATTTAAATTGAAAAGATGAAAACAGAAAAAAAAAAGTTTATTTCATTTTTACTAACATTTCATACAGTGAGTGCAATATATAAGAGTGCATAAAATTTGTTAAAAAAAAAAAAAAAAAAAAGAAAACTTAAAGAAAAATCTATTTGCGCACACAAACCTATCACATATATTTTAATGCAATATATTATTTACATTTATTCTGCCTTAAAATGCATTTTCATTATGACAAGTTGGCTTAAAAAAGCGTGAAAATGTCACATAACGTTACTAATTTTTATTAACTTATTAATATTTGAATTTTGTTTTGCTTTTTTCCCTCATTAATATTTACATTTTGCTTTTTTTTTTTTTTTTTTTGTTTTTAACATCACCTTTTTTTCTTTTTCACTAGTAATATAGAAACTGAACATAAAAAAAGGCGATACAAATGATATGATTCAAGATTGCGACAGATACGGCAATTTACCAAATCGTTTCATCTTCCATCCTTACGATGGAACACAATATAATATCAATCGATATGATAGAATACAATATAATACGATATGATACGATGCATCATCATACCATAAGATACCATAAGCTGTGACATTAACGCCCATTTTTGCATTTTGGAATGAAATATCTGGGATATATAAGAAAATTATGTGACATAAATAATGCATGGATACTAGTAAATGGCATAAATACAAATAATATATATTAATTAAATAAAAATAAAAGAAACAAATAAAATTTGGGAAATAAAACAGTTACAGAAATAAAAGATTAGGTAATTATCAGATAGCTGAGATGATATTTTTAATAAATATTTTCAAATATTGACACAAAAAAGGAAAGAAAAAGAAAAGATATGAAGAATAAAAGGCAAAAATGGAAGAAAGAAAATCAAGAAAAAAAAAGTGAAAAATTAAGAAAAAAATGAAAAATTTTTAAATGAAAAAATTCAACAACTAAGCATCAAACAGTCAATTAAAAAAAAAGAACTTGACAAAAGGTTTAATGAAATAATCGTTTGTTTTAAAACTAACAATAAACTCAATTGAAAAAGTGATTAAATAAAAATGTAAATAGAGAAAGATTTGTTTAACAGATCGGTAAATAAGTAAGATGAAAAATGTAAACAAATAGGCCAAATAAATAAATGAATGATCAATCGTTTTGCTAATATTCAAAATATATTGCAGTTTGACCAGTTGGAATAATAGAAAACTTTTTGCGAACCTTTCCATCAAATTGAAGTAATCAGAAGATGTCGTTATAAGGAATATCATTCAAAATGAAAATGATTAAAGTCTTTTTTAAATGTAACGTTAAGAAAGTGAAAAAGTTGATTATGAATGGATGAATAATTTTATCTTATGTCATGCCTTTAATTAAGTGTGGGCATAAAATTTTTGAACTTCTACTTAAAACACTGATATAAAACAAAATCGTATAACTAAAGTAAATAATAACCATAACGATAGAGACAACATAAGCAATAATGACAATGATAGAATGTTCATAAATAAGATAGTGATAACTATAACCATAATCCTAAAAATTTTTTTGTAATAATTACATAGGTAACGAGATCAAAGAAATCTCAATAACAATATGATTATTAGATAATGATAAGAAAAGATAAAAATTCCGTTAGTTTGAAGTTTGACTAAAGTAATAAGAATTGGAAAAAAAATTCAGTTGCAAGTAGAACCAAAATATCAGATTTAACGCATTTTATAACAATAAAAAAGTAATTGCAAATTATTCGAAATTAAAACTTGCTATTTTACATATGCATGCATTGTCATATTTAATTTTATTTTAAGACACATTCTCCTATCCAACTGATGACTGGCTATTTGACCTTTCTTCTATAATTAATTAAGACTAATGACAAGTTACTGGGCGAGAAATAGATTAAAATGAAACAATATTGTTATAACAGGCGATGAAGAACGCAATAAGCCAACATTTTGAGCATTTTTTTTTTCTTTGTAACGGAAGTGATAGTGTGGAAAATGAAAAATGAGTGGCCGCGATATTATTAAAATTTATAATGACTAATTACTGAATAACTATGAAATAAATATTTCATTCGTCAATAATGGATGCAAGGAAGAATCGATGATTTGACGATTATTTGATATTTCAAGCAAAACCGTAAGATGAAAAAGTTCGATAAGTAGTAAATGCCGCATAAGCTAACCGATAATTAAGGGAATTTGCTGCTTTGAAGTGTTGTTTTTATCTATTTTATGCAAACAGTTAAAGTAAGTATTGATAGTTATGGCTCTTCCTTTCATTAACAAAGGTATGTTTAAGCCAAGTGATATCAATAATGATGAGTTTAGGCTAGGTGATAATGAATTTTTGATTCAAATATGCAATTAGTTTTGCACCAGCTTAGTATGCTATTTCATATTTTCTCCTATTTTCTATTTTTTTATTTTCTTTTTTTCAATTTATTGTTTATTTAATCAATGAGAAAACGTATCTCAAAGTGAAAACAACTGTAACATTATTGCAATTGCTGTTATCATAATATCACTGGCAATCATCTCGCTAATGTTATTGATGCAATTATTATTATTTTTATGATCGTTAACATTATTATAGTCATCATGATAATGATAATGATGTAATTATTACTATTGCTCTTATCATTAGCATCACTATAATCATCATGTAATATTGATGATGATAATTGTGATGCTAATGACAATGTAAATAAGAGTTTACTGATGATATGAATCATTGAGATCTTTCCGTAATGATTTCAATCCAATTATTGAAAAAAGAAGGATTTTCATTTCAAGAATTATTATTTGTTGTGCAATGGAATGATTTTTTCTTGTGATTTAATTTCTTTTTTTTAAATTATTAGTTCACTAATGCAATTGTTCTTTATATGAATAATTTTCATTTTTCATTTTAAGCTGAGTTTTAATTTTATTATACAAATAACAAAATTCTTTGTTAATGGTGTAATAAAAAAAAAGAGAATCACAAATGTAATACAGCAAAATATTCAAATAGGCTAACAATAATTTACTTTTTTTGCAATATTTGATGATTGATGAAGTTTTAAAAGATTGGCAAAATTAGTTAATAAGCACAGTTGATAAGTTTTTAAAAATCTTTAATAATATGCATTATTGTTTAACTAAGCATAATAATAGGACTAAATAAAATAAGATTGTAAAAATATATGTTATTTATTTTATATTAAATTCTCAATTTTGGGCATGATGAATGATTTCAGATATTTTAGTCTTACAACTTGAATACTTATAAATTAAACATTATTTTGTCAACTCTAATAAATCTCTTCAAATTCTGTCTTCATTTCTTTTCCTTTTATATACAAAAAAAAAAAAAGATCCTTTGCTGTTATTATAATATTTCAAATTTAAGAATTTTTAATTAACCTGTAAACATCGTAGTAGTAGCAATTGCTGTTGTTATCGCTGCCATCGTTGATGAAAATAGGGCGAAAAAGTAAGTCAGAGGTTTTAATAGCCAAAGAATTAGTGTGTTTATGTGGTAATAATGGTTGGTTAATTTCATCAACCGTTGAAACCAAAGCAACATCAGAAGATATAAGAGATGATAAGATTGATGAAGTGGACCGTATCATTTGTTGTATAATAATTTTAAAGGGAATAAACAAATGAAAGGAATTAAAGAAAATGAACGCAAGAAAAAAGAATGGAAAAATTAATTTTAACAAAGTAAAATTTAGGAAAAAGCAAAGAGAGAGTGGAAAAGAAAATTTGATTAGTAAAATAGCAATTTTAATCTCATCCTGAAATATTATATTTCATTTATTACGGCTGTCTGAGGAAAACTTTCAATATAACGATTCAAATATCAGTAATAAATTACAAATTCATTCTTATCATTACTATTCATTTGAATATTTTCAGGCCTTTTTCGATGCGACTTATAAATAACTTCATGAAACCAATTTTAGAAGGAAGTTATTAGATAACACATTTACTTCCTAGAGATTTAGTTTTGCATGTAATTGTGATTTTTAATTTTTTACATGGATGAAAAATTCACATCATAAAATATTTAGAATTCCAGTAAAAATGAAGGGATTTATTTTTGTAATCAAACTTTTATGCTAATTTGTGTTTTATTTTATGTTTATATTAAATTTAATTATTAGTGATATTATAACTAACAATTTATTTGAAGTGATAAATATTTATTATTGGTATATTTGTTTTATCCTATTATTGTTGTTATTAAACGTACATTAATATTTTTGATAATTTAGGAAAGAAATATCACAACATGTTGGGGTTTTATTTTGTGATATTTTAAAGCAAAATGAGTTACAGAAATACTAAATTACAAAATGTAGAAACTATCCTGCCGGAAATATTCCTTCCTGAATCTGAGATGATGGCATGAGGTGATCAGGTGAACAGCAATACGGCAGATTATTTCCCAGAGTTTTATTTACTGTTTTATCTAGCATTACGTAGAATTCGAAATCAACACTCAAATACTTTTTTTTTTTTACAAGCCTTACGTTACAGATAAATCCTTTTCTGAAATGGAGAAAGTCAGGAAATGATATTGAAAGTTTAATTTTCAATAAATATTGCAAAATAAAATCAAATAATGATATAAATTTTGAAATTTTAATTTTTACCTAAAAGTATGTAAAAAAATAGAAATTGACAAATGTCGAATTTTCGGCTTGTGTTAATTAACGATATATATGCTTAATTAGCTCCATATATGCATAAACGGTAATTACTATTGCAGGAATATAAAGAAAAGGAATTAAATATAATAAGTAACAAAAAGTTTAGGGCCAGAAACTCATTAAGAAATTGTATAAATTAAAGGATTCAGGGTCATGAACTCTTTATGTATTTATCTATAAGTAATTAACGAATATATTCGGTTTAAAACGCAATGATAAAGTTATACAGTTGATGAGCAGCAAACAAATAGATTCAAGATGAGAAGCTCATTTTAAGCTTGCATACAACAATAGCAGAAATATAAGTTTGTTTGCATTTGAAACGAGAAGCATAACATAATATTAATAACAAAAAAAAAGTTGCCAAAAAGCTCCGTTATATTTCCAATCTTTTTAAATTTTTTAAAAGAAAAATGGCCTTAAAGTGAAAGTTTAGTTTGATGCAAAACAAGCAGCAAATAAGTTTGAACGACCCTTGGGATGTAAACTTTTTGAAAGAGACTATAATTTCATCATATTTTAATGCTTCGCTCCTTTTTCGCCCACTTATTTCCTCTTTTTTTTTCCTCTCTCTCTTTCTAGTTCAGTAAAAGAGCAAACAAAAACAAAAAAACATATACAAACATCTTTTTTTAGAAATTATCTATAAAAATTTCGCCAAAAAACATCAACTTTCATCTTGTTTTTGTTCCATTTTTCTATCTCTCATTCCATTTATTCATTCATTCATTCATTCATTCATTCATTCATTCATTCATTCATTCATTCATTCATTCATTCATTCATTCATTCCATTCATTCATTCCATTCAAAAAAACAACAACAAAAAAGAAGAACGAATGTTAAAACGATTATTGCCATTTAATTACAATCACATAGTTTTTAATCATAACAAAAATGCAATACACATAAAGACAGGGAGAGAGAGGGAGAAAAAAATAATTTGATACATAAATATACAAATTAGAGATATCTGAATCAAACTTAAATAATTTTGACGAAAAACGACGAAAGAAAAAAAGCGGAAGACTGAAGAAAGCAAAAATGTATTAATGAAAGAGATAAAATAATAAACAGGAAAAATGATTGACTTGATTATATTTTATGAACTTCAATTAAGATTATTACTATTATGTTTTTAGTATATATACAAGTAATGATTGATTTTAATTTTTCTGAACAAACAAGGTTGTTTATTAATAAACAGCTGTTATCAGAAATGATTAATTTGAATAAATGATACACTCATATTAGATTACCGATTATTTGTACTTTTGTGCTATATGACCTATCTATTAATTGCACTAACAGTTATACAAAGTTAAGCTAAATAATTAAATGAAAATAACAATGAAAGCTGATTATTGAATGGTTGTGCATTTCAACTGAAAAGTTCAAAAGAACCACTCATTAAAAAAAGACTTTACACTCATTTGGACGTTGAATGAAATGAAAAAATGATCATTCCAATTTAAATTACGATCAAATATAATAATAGAATAAATATAACAAAATGATTCGTTTTTTTTCCAAAAGTAAATCTAACCGTTTCTTTTTATACTCAGAAAAGAAAAAAGAAAATAGTGATGAATTGCATTGGAAAAAGTGAAAAATTTTTTGAAATGTTTTCAATTTTATATGATAATGCGCGCTATTAGCCATTTATTAAAAAAAAAAAAAAAAGAAATATGAATTTAATATCCATGAATGTTTTGAAAAAAAATTATCAATTGCTTGAAAAGTTTCGTAAAAAAAAAGAAAGAAGGCAAATATTATTAATGTAATAGAGAAAATAGAATTTCGTGCAAAACTACAGGATAAAATCCAATAAATTGATAGCGCCAAAATTACTAGTAATTACATGGTGGCAAGCATTGATATAGTCTAAATTGTTCTTATAGTTACCAAAACAGCTTATAAGTGTAGTTTACCTTGCACAATAGCCCAGGTAATTTGTTTATAAAATTAATCATGTAAATTATTCAGAGTAAAAAATTTTTCAAATAGCACACAATTTTATAATATGCAAAAAGTAATAGCATTGCAAAAACTTTATGAAAGATCAAGAACATTAAATCATTTTATTACGATAATCAGGAAAATGCGCTGTTGTTTAATTATTTGATTGAACTATTAAAAGATAGTTGATTGAATCATTGGAACTAATAAATGGAAAAGAAGCGCACAAAAATTTCTGGAAACTATTTCAGGAACGTTTAACTCACTCCAATTGCGCTCTGTTTATCGAATAATTATTTTTCTAATATTAAAATAACTAAAACATAATAGTGAACTATTTCATAATATTAACATATCAGAAAAAAAAAGATACACCAAGAAGTGAACTGTTACAAAAAAATAAATCATAAATATGAAGTTTATAAAATTTTCTTCAATTTCTTTAAAAAAAAAGTTCTTTTTTTTTGTCGGAAAAAGAGAGGGATGTTATAGATTATTTTTGTGTTAGCAAATAAATAAATGAATAGGTGGGTAAATAAGTAAGTAATATTTTAAGCATAAATTATACTTAGCTTTTTGATGAAGATATGAAAGAAGCAAATAAATAGGAGGCGAAAATTAGAGGGAAAAGAAGAGGAAGGATGTTGTTATGGGCTAGTTAGTCTTAGTCTTAGTCTAAACCTATAAAATTATTTCTAAACAAGGCGAACAAGAAAAGCCTATCATCCTTACAACCTCTCTCTCTGTCTTTCTCTCTCCCTGTCCTCTTTTCTCTCTAAATTTTTTCTTTAATCAGTGATATATAGTTCTTTTTTCTTTTACTTTCTTTTTTTCTTATAAAACTTATTCAAGCATAATAATTAGAACCAAAAATAAAAAAAAAAAGGAAAAAGAAAAAAAAAATTGGAGAAAAGGAATGAAAAGAAAAAGAGAAAAATGAATGATTGACAATCCAATTTTACCAAAAAGAATTTTTTTTTTCTTTAAATTTGCTCTTAGAACTATTTAAAAATGAAAAAAAAAAAGAAAGGAAATTTTTTCGTTCTAATAAATTAATTGATACTTCACAAGATGTTGAAAATTTGAGAATTTGAATAAATTTGTTGTACTGAATGAATAGACCTGAATACAATATAGTGATGTGATTAATGAAATTATGAATGAATATATGAGACAGATAATAATTAATAAAAAATAACAATATAATGAATATGATTACCAAAATAAGTTATCAATATGTAAGATTATCAAGATAAAGATTTTTAAAACCTTTTTTTTCCTTTTTTGTAAAAATTCTATTTATTTGAGATATTCAGCTAGTGGACAATTAATAAGAATAATAAAAAAAATGTTGAACTACGTTTCTGAGCATTTTAAAACATAACATTATATTAATTTAACTCTGATTTTTTCCTTTCTTTTTTTTTTTTTTTTTTTTTTTTTTTTTTTTTTTTTTTGAAAATTTAAAACCTACCGTCGACGATAATTGATGAAATTTCTTGCATAGTGATCATTTTCGTTTGAAATTTGTTCGTGTTCTTTCTCCGCTATCTCATCATTGTTCATCATATAAGTTGTTTTATCTTTCCTCTTCTTTGCTATCTGTAATTTATTAATTTCTCACCTCTGATTTTTTTATTTTGTTTTAATATTCTTTTAAAATCCAAAAAAAAAAACATCGAAATTAGCTAATAAGCAAATAATTTATGTAAATTACATGCATTGTCAATCAAAATTATTTATGATTTGAACATTTTGTTTTATTTTCTGTTCAAAAAAAAAATTTTTTTTTTTGAATTTTATCTCTCAAAAATGTATAATGTAACTATTTCATTTTAGATTAATATTCTATTTGTTATCAAAAAAAAAATCAAAAATTAATTCGCTTTATGAATAAGCTAAAGCTTACGAATAATTTTTGTAAACTAATCAAATCGATTTTAGAAGTTAATTTAATACATTTATTCACTTTATCCATTTTTTTTAGGAGGTGGAGCAAAGATATATGATAATACAATGATTGCTGTTAAACAAAAAAACGAGAAAAATATACACTAATTGCAATTATTACATTTTTTTCTTTGTTTTTTGGAATTTCAGATTTTTTAAATTTCAGGTTTGCCCTTTTTTCACTTTAAAGTTTTATCAATATCGATTGCACTCACATCACTCTTTTGCTTATGATAATTTAAATGAATACAACAAAATTAAGACTGAAATTCATTTGTAATTTATAATTTTAATATTTCGTTTAATTATTTTCCACAAAAATTTCCCCTGTTTTGTTTATTTTGTAATTTCTTGCTTTATTTGCAGCTTAAGATTATTTTAAAGTTAAAGTTAAAAATTAAAATTTACATCATTAGTAGGTATTTTTTCTGAATATATAATAGTAATTAAAGTATATGATTTATTTGTATTTTTCTTCTCTCTTTTTCCATCAATAAAAAAAAGTAAGTGATGACAATAAACCAATCAATAATTATTTTAATTTATTTCTGATAAGTTAGTTATACATATACATGTATTTATCTGTTTACTTACTTGTATGAGTATTTATCTGTCTACTTACTTATATACTTTCTTATTTTAATTTTACAATATTAATTAAATTAAGTACAATAATTCTGACTTCAAGTACAACCGCATGAAAATTGAACGATGGCATTTCCTCATGCTTTGACCCCCGCTTTGGGGTTATCTGTCCTCGTCTTACGACTGCATAGTATTCTTGCTGATTCCGATAATTTCGTTGATTGACGACGCATTCTTCCATATTGTCGTCATATTGCTTATCAACTAAAATAAATTGAAGTAATTTTTTCTAGAAGAAAAAAATTAAAATGAAAAGGAAAGAGAGAAAAGAGTAAAAAATAAAAAAGCAAAATGGATAAAGAAAGGAATTTTTTTCTGCTTCATTATTAATTATTACTATTGTATTTAAGCTAAAATTAACTAAACGATTAAATAGATTAAAATAATTTTAACTTGTTAATTTTTACTTTTAACACTTTAGTTCTGTAAGTGTAAAGAGAGGGAAAAAATAAAGTTAGCCACAAAATGTCATAGATTTTCCTTGCAAATCATAGGCTTAAACAATTGACAGGCACGAAAAGGAAAAGGGAATAGATGATTGTTAGGCTATTAGGCTTATGAAATGCTAAGACCATTTCTTCCCCCGCTATTCACAGAATATTGTGAAAATGATAAATGCACACACCGTTAATCACTTAAATCTCTTCTTTATCATTTTTTGCGGAGATGAAAGACGGAGGACGAAAAGAGAGAAAAAAGGAAAAGGAAAGAAAAAGTTTCATTAACATATTCAAACATTTTTTTTTAATGTTTGTATACAATAGTCATAGGAAAAATTTATTTATAGCTTTAAAATTTGAAAATTTTTTTTTGCAATACTGTTCTATTAGCATTCATGTAACTCAAATTTTATTTTATTTGATTTCGACTACAAGGATGAAAAATACAGTTTTATGTTTGAATAAATGTTAAATTGAAACAAATTCAGCGATTAAATGAGCATTGATTTAAATTTGAATAAATTAGTTAATTTGATTGAAATAAGGAAATGATTTATTAAATGTTGTTTCAATAAGAGTTAATAAGGAATTGTATATATATATATATCAGTATATTTAGTGAATATTATTTATTAATAATGTAATTTGACTAAATATATATATAACTGTTGTAACTAATAATGATTTCTAACCGTGTATTTTGTTCCACTCAATTGTCCGATTTTCCAATTTTCTACCTTGTTTTACTCTGCTTGTATTTGCTAAAATTACGCAACTTACGTGAATGAAAAATTTGTGATATATTAATTAGAAACAGAATTGATAATATCATTCTTCTTTTTCATGTTTAATAAAATAAAAACTTAGTCAGAAAAAAAAAAAGATAGAAACAAATACAATTCCTTATCAAATTTATCAGTCGTCAATAAATTTAATATCATTTCATCTTTTAGTATATTTCTTTATAATCAATACTTTGTTAAAAAATCTTTTAAAAAACCGTAGAATCATTTTTTTTTGATAAATTAGTATGTTTAATTTTTTATACTTTTCAGCTATTTAATTACAATTAACTTTAATCTATATATCGTTAAAAAAAAGAGCTAATGATACATTTTGATAGTAATTTATTTTATTCTGCATTTTTCGGTTGCCTTTTTCATGCGATGAAAATATAAATCGTTAATTAAAAGGTTTAGAATGGAAAAATTTGAATTATATTTGGTAAATGTTAGAATTAATTAGCAAGCCAGAGTAAAGTAATGATAAAATAAATTCTGATAAAAAAAAAAAACAAATAATATGTGAAAGAATGAGAAAAAAATCAGTTTATAATGATTAATTCATCAAATTATTTTAATTAATACCACATAAATTATTGCTACATTAATTTTCATTTGATTTCGGAGCAAAAAAATGGATTTTGGGGCAAAACTAAGGATTGAAAAATGGAAAATGAAATAAAATCATACCAGTATGAACATGCAATTAACTAATGAATCAACCACTCAAATTAGTTTCTTCCATTTCTTTCTCTTTTAATGATCTTTGTCTCTTTGTTTTTTTATCAGTAGTCCTTGGGTGCTTTTTTCCGTAAAAAGAAAGAAGGCAAAAAACTATTTTACTAATTGTTTTCAAAAGAGTAAAGAAAGTTTGTTTTATTTAAAAACAACATTTTTAGTTATTAATGATGGATAAATCATATTATATTGTCTGATCGAAAAGCAAATAATATATAAATAGTATAATTGAGTTATAGAATACTATTAAATCGTAAATTCACCAAAATGAGTCTATCAGTTGTCAGGGCCTGAAATTTGAAGCCAACGAAGAAGGAGATAAGGAAAAAAAATAATAGAGAAAGAGATCATTCTTCGGATTTAAGGCTAAATTATCACTTAACACATATGATCGTTGAATTTAAAGATTTTTTAGCACTATAAGCTTATACACGTACCCAATCACGTTTTAGACGTAGTTTATTTCATTGAATCGTTCAATAATTAGTTATTACATGGTGAGAGAAGACTATAATTATGCAAAAAAAAGGGAAAAAATTTTTTAAACAATAAATTTTTCAATTTCTTTTTTTCTCACTGAATTGTAAATATTTAAGAATTTGAAATTATTTTTTTTTTTTTTGTTGTTATTCAACTTGTACTTTTGAAGATTAAAGTCCTTTAGTTGAGAAACTTAAATCTTTCCCACTCATTTGTACTTTTAGGAAATTTAAACTAAAATGTAAAAATTCAGAATGAAATTAGACATGATATTGGAATTCATAAATTTTCATTATGTAACATTTTTGTGGTATTTGTCCTTTAATCTATTTTAATATTTTATAATGAGATGAAATCTGCAGAATTGCTAGTCGTTTTAGGCTTACGATTTTAGACTTTTAACAACAGGAAAAAAAATTCATAGTAAAATCTATGATTTTAATTTTGCAAGAATAAAAAAGGAACAAAATAATCAGAAAACATTATATTATCGCTTTTTTTACATAATTTCAATTATTGATTGTAACTTCAGCCTTAAACTTTTACTACTAAAATTCTTAAATTTTAAGCAGAGATATTAATGTCACTTTTTTTTAAATCAGTAAAATCAAAAAAAAAAAAAAAGGAAAATAGTGATGCTTATGCATATTTTACAACTCATATTTAATTTAGCTTAAAAAATTAAAATAAATTTGGTCAATATTTAAACACAGTAAAAACACTGCCTTTTTCTTTTTTTTTTTTTTTTTTAAAGGAAAATGTTACATAACAATTGTTAGTCCTAAAAAAAAACCAAAGAAAAAAGAAAGCAAAGGCGGAAACTGCACACATTTTACTTAATACGTTATCATCAGTGTATATTTTAGATTAATTATTAAATTGTAATTAAGCAGGTTTGATGTGTAGACAATGATAACATGTAATTAAAAATGAATTGCATGCAAATTTTGCGTTACAAATCAGTGATTAATTGAAATTAAAATAAGAACATTCTTTTTGCTTTTTTTTCTTTTCTCATATCAAATATTTAAAAAAAATAGGCCAAATTTTTTTTCTTTGAAAAGATAGATTGAATAATATAAATGAATATTACTTTAGGAAATCAATAAAGGGTTTAGGAAAAGCAGAAAGAAAAAAAAGGGCGGAGGAAAGAGGAAAATGACATTTACAGGCCTATTATTAAATAAGGCTTACAAGGTTTACTTTCATTTCTGATAGAAAATGACAGATGAAAAGGTTATTGCAATAGATAATTGCATTTTGTTTCATGCATTTGCAAGTTATGTCAAGAATGTCAAATAGGATGGGCGATACGATGAATTTAATTACTGTTACTAAGAAAAAAATTTTTTTTCCTTTTTTCCACAAATAATTTTTAATTTGATTTTTAATATAAATAATATTTTTCTTTAAAAAAAAGGAAAAAAAAACGAAAAAACAAAAAAAAAAAAAAGGAAAAATCATTGATTAATCCTGGAGGAAAAAGTTTTTCATTTACTAAGAATTTTCGTCATTTTTTTCACTCATTCTTCAAAAAATCTTAGTTATTGATGTCATGTATTAGTAGAATTAATAAATTTTTTTTAAAAAAAGAAAGAATTAATTAAGAAGAAAATGTTCATATAATTACGCTAGGAAGTATTTTCATACATTTTTTAAAAAATTTTTTATCATAATCGATAGGAATATTCAAATTTCATGCATATACCCTCTAAGAGATATAATATGATAATTTTATATGGATATTCTTAGTTAAACCAAGTTTTAAGTCATTTTAGATAAGCCTTGAATTTCGGTTAGTAGGATGACAAAAATTATAAATGACAAGATTTTAGAGTGAAAACGAAATGAAATTAAGAATTAAAAAGGAAGTATGAATGAATATTTTTGAGAAATGTGAAGAAAATATCGATTATTTATAACTATATTTGTATGCAAAAATATATCAAAGAATATTAGATGAACTATTATAGATTAAATATTCAACTATTAAATATTTATATTTACTAAAACAGGTAAAGAAACTACAACGCATACATATATATAAACAAAAAATAATAGCAGTAAATTGTATGTAAGTATGAATTAGAAAGATTCAAAAAAAAAAAAAAAATTTAAAAGAAATAGGGCTAAAGGGAAATCATTTTATTCTTTTTCTCAGTATTTTTCCTTTTCACCTTCTTTACTCCTCTTTCTCTCTCTCCCCCTCTCTCTCTCTGTCTTTCCCTGTCTTTCTCGTAAATTGGATTTCATTGTATGTAATGTACGAATATATTTGTAACATTTATGAAAAATTTTTTCAACTTTTTCGAGCTGTTTAAAATTTTAAGTTTTATAATAAAATTCTTCTGGCAAAACTGACGGAGCAAAAATAAATGATTCAAATTTGAAATTTTAAGAACTTTTAAATGTGTTAAAATTAACGTAGCGAAAAAAATGATTTTCATTACAAATTTTGAAAAAAAAAAAATTGTACGCTAGTCATTTTTAATCAATCATTGCATAAATTTTCCTAATCAAAACTAACATTTTAATCAAATTTCTTCAAAGCAAAAAAGCAAAAAAAAGACGAAAATTTATTTGCTTTCAATTTAATAAGAACTAAAAAAAACTAAGTTTAACTATTTTACGTGAAATTTACTAAGACTAATGTGCCATTAATTAGTCTCGTCTATCGTTTCATCTGAAAATTTTGACAGGAGATAAAATAGAGTAAAAATATAACTTGAAGGTTTTTCTCTTTCATCCTTCTCTCTCTCTCATTTGAGTTTTTTCCCTTCAAATGAAAGAATGCAAAAATTCTTATTGCCTCATATGATACGCTTAAAACTTAAACTAATAACCTTTTTGAAACGAAATTTTACGAATGACTTGAAAACAAAGCCATCCATGATAATTTATTTGTTAAGCGAAGTGCATTCATCCAAAATCAACTCAACTGCATTGCATCATTTAAATTGATTGTTTTTCATTAAAATAAAAATTTTGCTTCAATCTATAATAATCAGATGAAAATTTTGCCATGCAAAAATTTTCGCTCGTTAAAAGAAATGAAATTTTCAAATAACATTTTAATTAATAATACATTTTTTTTTCAATCATAGTTGTTTCAAAAATATTTCAAAAAGAACAAAATTTTCATTTTTTTCAAAATAAATTCAGTTTTTTCCTTATTAAAAAAAGATTTAAAAAAAAGTGAATAGATTTATCTTGTTTTTTTTTTTTTTTTTTGGTTTGGAAAATTATAATTTATTTCACTAATTAATGGTTATACATATGATTGATTAAAATGATAAGTAACAAATACAAAAAAAAAAAAAAAAAAAAAAAAAAACAGAATGTTTTAATTTAGTTATCAATTCTAATAATCAGTAGGCTGTGAAAAAAAGAAGAAAATGAAAAAAAAATTATTTAGGCACAAAACTTACGTAAAATAAATGCAAAATTTATTTGCAAAAAAAAAAAAGCTACTGATTAAATTTCAGTCATTTAGCGTTTGTATTTGTTTCATCACTTTATCATTAATTATTTATTATTTATTTGCTTCATTTTCATTTTTTACCCTAATCGTAATCGTATAGATAATTTTAGTATTCATTTTGGGAAAGCATAATTTTAAATTTATTTTTAACCTAAATCGGGTATTTTAATTTAAATACAATTTTGCTTTAGCGTGAATTTGATATGATATTTCTGCAATTTCATCTATTATTACATCAATCATTTTAATGGAATTCCTTATTTGCTTTATTTTCTTGAAAAATATTTTGCATTTTTTTAACTAACAAATTTTGTCATCTAATATCGAATAATTTGTATTAAGCAAAAATGATTCGAATAATATTATAATGCTAATTAAGGCACTAATTAGTGAATGACCTAATAGACATAAATAAACAAGATGGAATATAATAATTGAAACCGATGAATAAAAAAGATAAGAAAACGATAATATTCAAGGCAATCTTTTTTTTTTTTTTTTGAAATTCTAATATCAAAACTATCAGTAATCATGATAGAGTGGAACAATGTTTGTATTTCTTGTTAGAAATCAAAACTTTGTTCTTATCAGTGTTTCAACTTGATATTCAATTTCAAAATTTCTCAAAAAAAAAAGATTCTAAATTTGTTTCATATCACAATTCAATTCTCAAGATGTTTTCATGTCCAATTCTGAATATTTTGCATATATTTGTTTTCGTCTTGTTCACTATTTCTACAAATACTAAGTATTTTGAAATGAAAACGCCTTGAGAATTGAATTGTGATATATATATATAAGCATAATATTCAGGTATTTTATTGCATTTTATTCTAACTTTTTTCGTAATTATTTTCTTTCTTAAAATAATGCTTTTAATTTTATATTTTATTTCAGAATTTCTCAAAAAAAAAAAATTCCAAACTTATTTCACAACACATTCCAAATTCCAAAATTATTTTCATATTCGTTTCTGTAAAATCTTTATTCCATATTCAATTCTAAAAATATAAATTTTTATTTCATTCGAAAGTTTCACATAAAAC